CCAGATTACACCTTTCATTCTCCTTGTTTGTAATGGTTCATGATGTTTAGCTGGAGAGAGATTTTTTTCCTAAGCATAAAAAGGTCTTTGCCTGTGGAGCAGGAGGCTATTTTTTTCTATGTCCTCTTAGTGAGTTAGTGATGAATTTAGATTGTGTACCTTCCCCTTCCTACCCCTCTCATTTCCATCTGGTATGTCATATTTTTCTACCTTTTCTCCACTCCTGCCCCCACTAATGTTTGTCTATTTTGAGGGGATTTCTCCTTCCCTGGTGTGTCTTTCTCTACACAAAAGGAAAGACACAAAATACCAAACTCTCTTCTCTCCTTTTCACATAATAAGGACAGAAATAAGATGAATCTTTATCTTCTGTCTTTCTTTTCTTTCTCCTCTATTATCTCCTTCCCTTATTTTCAAGGCTCCTCATGACTTCTGGTTGCCTGCAGTGTGAGAGGAGGAGGCTGCTTGACTTGGCTTTCCCTTCTGTGGCATATCCTCCCAGTCAACATTGTTCTTTGCACTGCCATCACTGAAGGATGACGTGGCCTGGCAGTCTCTATGGGCTCTTCCTCGTATCAGAGGACCCTTGTGTCTCCCTTATGTTATCTTTCAGTGCCTGCTTCACTTATCATTTTAAGTACAATGGCTTAGAAATGCCAATTAATACAGACAAAGAAAATGCCTTAAATAAAGTATCGGTGGATATAATCATATTTTATAACAAAATTTTATTAGCATTAAGTCAAATTAGAAAACTTCATGCTGCACCATTTGCCATATTTACCTGGAATGACCAGATTATACTTAGCTGAATACAAAGCAGTTTGTGCCCCTGGATTCTACTGTTTGGAAAACAAGAAAATTGATGTGCATATAGCAGTGTGCCTGACACCACCATGGTTAATGTTTAAGGCCTAACAACTGGTCAGCAAAGCATATATTACTTCCAAATTCTGGGCCTAAGGAAGATGTCATTTCCTACTTTCTTGAAGCAGACTCATAATAGCCTAGGCATCAGGAGTCTTCTTTTTTTGAGTCTAATATTGACATCTGTATTTCAAGAAAAAGTAGGATTGAGGTATCTTTATAGCTTAAAGGCACAGGTCATGTAGCTGGATTAAAAGCTATTGTGTTGGTCACTCTGTCATGGATTATGAGCCAGGTCTCATGGGGGGAGTCCTGATGCTGTCTCCTGACTCCTCGGTATAGTCCACGTCATTAGCTCTGCTTCTCTCACTCTTGCTCTTGTGCTGCTAAACAGCTGTGAGTGTCGAAATCAGATCAGAGGACAGGTCAAGGCTTCTTCACTGTCTCCTGCCATATACAGAGCAATCTGTGCTGTGAAATTTCATTACCCAGCATACAGAGGGGACCCAAGAAGTGATTCAAATGCAAGCAAGGACAGGAAGGCTCATTTTTCAGGTGAAACATGGTATGGGGAAAAGAAATCAGCTTTCCCTTGAAAGGGGTTCTACCAAGTTGGAAAGAAGAACTGTATTTAGTGCAGGGTACACTCAACTGTAACCAACCCCTTCATTCAACAGAAACAGCTTGAAAAGGATACCAATGACAACAGTGGTCTCCATGTGACATAAGTTCTGGGAGGCCATCAGCAGTGGTATTGAGCATTTATCTGGGCTCTGCAAATAGTCCTGGGATCATTGAGTATAAATGGGAGTCTAGGTCCTAAAAATATAAAACTTATCACTTGCTAAATAACTGGGCTTTTCCTTCAACTTAGGAACAATATGTTTATGCTCAGAAACTTTTTCTTATTTTTAAATTCTGCCTGATGATGATAATAAATCTCAAAATCTAAGTGAAGGGCTTGAAAAGCTGCATAGAGAGAAGAAACAACCTACAGACATGGGGGCATGTGTTTCATTCCTACAGCAGCTCATCTTGTGACTCCCTCCCATTTCCACCTTTCCCACCCCTGCCAAATTCATTAATAAAAATGGCTGCCATCAAAACTTAAATTCAGCTGCATAATATAGAAGGATAATAATAAATTCTCATTTCTTTGGGCACCAGAGCTTACATATGACAAGGTTTTATTCTCTCCAATTTATGTTCTTAATGTATTTTCTACCTCTCCTCTGTACTGCCTTGTCATCTTGGCTTGTATTCCTCAGTGAACCCTGCATTACTTGTGATTACATCTGTACTGTTCATGCCCATTAATTCAGCTGGGATTGACCCAAAGTTTGCTCAAGCTTGAGTTCATAGCCTCCTAGGCCGAGGTCCCCCTCGTAAATGTTTTCCTTGTTTGGAGTCTGAGGCGAAGCTTTCTTGTCCAGACCCAGCCTTGCCGGAGGACTGCAGGGTGAGGTGGCTTGCTCTTGGTAATTCATGGCTAGTTCATCTTGATTTACAATGCATTCCACATCATCCTCCTTTAGCTGTTCCTGGATTTTGGGGAGAGAGGGAGATAGCTGAGTCACTTCGTGATGAAGGTAGGACACAGTAGCAGCTCTACAGTATAAAAAAATAGGGTGTTCATTTTCCTTTTTTAAACTGCCCTGTCTTGCCTTGGCTGAAGTTTCTGCTATAGCGGATACTGCCTTTTCTATCACCGTGGGTATGGGAAACATTTCTCTGAGTTGGCGTTGACACCATAACACAACCATAAGAGGTCTCTAGGAACTAAGATAAGAGTCAGTAGAGAGTGCTTTATAATTGAGTACTTCATTGAGTTAAGGGCGTTAAAATAGAACTCAATAGGTTTCTTGCATTGGTATCTAATGGAGTTGAGAGGATTCAGGAGACAGCAGAATCCTGTGACCTCAGAGTATAGAATGATTCTCAATATTGGTTTTGTAACACTGTAATGCTGGTTTTAGACTATCACAAAATTCTCAAAACATAGTTTCTGTTATATTTAAAAAAAATAAAAGTGTGTCCTCACAACATATTTCTTGGGATGAGTGTCACAAGACTAAAAATGGTTGGAAGCAACTAGTGGATAATGGGAGAGACTAACTAGCTCTGGTCAATATTTTCCTCAAACAAAGGTTCCCTTGAAGGAAACAATTAGGATCTCAATCCTTCTTCCATTGGCTTTGGGAAGGTCATGCAAAATTACTTGTAGAATAGCCCTGGCAAGGTGACCTCGGATCAGTGGTTTCCAATGTTAGCCCGTACAGGAATCACTCAGAGGGCTTCTTAGAACACAGATGCTGGGCCCCAAACTCAGAGTGTCTGAAGTGGGACCTGGTACTTTGCACTTCTAACAAGTTCCCAAGTGATGCTGAGGCTGCTGGTCCAGGAATTGGGCTTTGAGAACCACTGCCTCAGGCTGTAGTGCCATAAACATGTCAGTGATGCTTTTTTTCTGTTTATGTAAGGTGGCCGGCTGGACAACCTGGAAGGGTGTCCCAAACTCCAAGAGTTGTTCTTTTGCAATCCCTGCCACTCATATTTGCTGCTAATGATTCTAATTGCTTCTCAGAATTTTTTTTATTTCACTGCCTTGAGCTATAAACCACAAGCTCAAAGTTTGAAATCTCTAAATACAGAAGTTTGTGAGGACACGTTACTTCTTTTATATTTTCTAAATTCATTTTATGGTTAAAAATATTGGTAACAATAAAAATTGCATTTTTAAAAGAAGAATGAACCCACATCACCAAAAACTGAAAAAAGAAGAGAAAAGCTTTGTGGTGCAATGAATTTTAAAAATGTTTCCTTCTCAAGCCAGGAAGGAATAGCCTTGAGGTTCCGGGGCTCATAAATTTTCACCACTCCTTTCCCAGCTTGGGTCATTTACTCACCCCATAAGCCTGAGGACTGGTGAGCAGCCTGGAAATTGGACCACACCATTCAGGTAATGTCGTGGTCAGCGGAGGACCAGAGTGGGTTAAAATTGGTTTCAGATATCTGTGAGGCCTGTTAAGGAATACTTGCCAAAAGAGAGTTAGGATTTAGTTTCTCACACAGCACAAACCTTTGCATGCAGCGAAAGAGACCATTATGTTCACATTTAAATCCCCCACTCCCTCATTTAGGAGGCAATTTGCCCTGCAAAAATTGCTGTTTATAATCTTTGCTTCACATACTTTTCCATTCCTCCCAGTAGCATTTGATCATGAAGAAATGGCTAATGGACCAGCCAACATCAGTGAGAAGTGTAAAATGTTTCTCTTCTCTTCCCCATTCCCACCCAAGATCTCATCTACCTAGGGAATGCATTCTTACGAATTATCTTAAACAATAGCCTAAAAGATTGTGTTTTCTTAAAACTGCACACACAGCTTAAAAGACCAGTAATTTCCACAAAGAAGCAAGGGGTATTTTATAAACTGTTCAGTCATTTTACAGCTGAGTAGTGAACATAGATTGTTTTACAAAATACTTATTTTCAATATTCAACATAGTCACTTCATATTTCATTTATGAACATATGTCTATACAAAATTACGTAAATAAGCTGGTACCAGGTTTATTCTATTGTCTAGCACCTGTCTTTCCCATCTCTTCACCCCAAAGTGCTATAACAAATTAAAAGAAAAACCTGTTCATCTAAAGCCATTATGCTTCTCTCCAATCTAGCAATAATGAAATCCCAGGGGCTGCCTCAGGTTACCTTATTATTATTATTTTTGCTCAAAGAAAAGTAGTTGAATCATCTCACCATTCCATTAGAAACAACTTTTAAGCTTTGTATTATTTCCTCTGCTGGAGAATATTTCACTTCACCAATTTCCTGAAAAGCTTTAATAAATAGGGAAAGGGAAAAGATGGAAAGCAGTTAACAATGGTTGGCTTGTGAAGATCCTTAGTCACCCGCAGGCACTCAGGATGCAAGAAGATCTTGGAGATGGATCTGCTGGAGTCCATCCATAGCTGGACAATGCCACTCTGTCATTACTGTGATCTATGAGTGTGAGGGGACAGAGGGAGGATGCAGCTCATGGGGGTCGGGGATCTGGTTGCTTCATCAAATCATTTGCCACCAAAGTGGTGACAAAGCAGAGCATGCTTATGAACACAGCCTAGTTATGATGCAAGGAGAATGACTAAAAAAGATGCTTACGAGGGTCTGTAATTCAAACTGCAAATGGAAAACTTGACTGCTTTCAGATAGGCAGCTGTTGTGCTCAGTTAAGGACTAGAGAAGGTATTAAAGTTCAGAGCCTGGCATTCTCTGTAACATTTTGTATTTACAATGCTGGAAAGCCCTTGATGATCTTCCATTAATTTTTATTACAGAATGTTATTTTCTTCCTTTTATGGATGAAATAATTGAGGCCTACAGATAGAATAATTTTAAATAATCCAAAGGCTCCCTTTGCTATTTGAATCCACCCACATCATCCCTGGCAGAAATTAATTTTTCAGGGCAGAATGATGCATCTGACCACTTGGTTCTCTAGAGAGAAAAGTTCGCAGACCTCATGCCTGTTGGCAAACTGCAGACCCTCACAGACAGGGGCAAGTGAGGACACCTGGTCTTATTAGGGTTTATGGTGTGCATAGGTCAGCAAAAAAAAATGCTTTTTTTAGGGAGGTGAGAGGAGAATAAGGTAAATGTACAATTGGAGTGTAAAACAAGGAAAATCCAGCCATTGTTATATCCAGATGGAAAAGTGACAGGAAGTAAGCAACATTTTTAGAGATGTCATGTAGCAAAACAAAAAAACAAAAAACAAAAAGAGGAGATTTGTCAAGGTGCTAAGAGAGGACTGGGCAACTTTTCTAGTATATTGAAAAATCAAAATGCCAAAATAATGCTACAAAGAAACCCCCCAAAATTTAGACTTGTGTAATGGATATATATATATTTTTAATCCTGATGAAGTATCTCTTAAACTCTGTGTATAACGTTATTGGAGCTAATACCTAACAACAAAATTTGCAGCTTTCTGTGAATGTGAGGCCTGGACCAAATAGGGTACCATTTGTCCCCCTCTGGACATGCTCTGGGATTTTTGACTTAGAAGGCCTGGGCATAACTGCTAGCTCTGCCTCTTTACTGACTGAATGGCCAGTGATCTAGTTATTTACCCCTCTGAGCCTCAATATTAACTGAAATAACATGTAGGAGTGATTTTAAACTCTTTCATGATATTTAAATGCTATTTAATTTATTTTAAAAATTTATTTTCTAAGCAATACTTTCTGAAGAAACTGGTATCTCAATCATTTTTCATATAATGGTGGGAAATGATACCGAGGGTAGAGATGAGAGAATGGCACTCTAGGTATTGGTGTGCCTGGGATTCACAGGCTAGTTAGTAGGTGCTCACCTGCATGTGCAGCCTGGGTGAGGGGAGGGCTCAACAAAGGAACAATAACTTCTGCTTGTACTTCTGTTTGAGAGAAAGCTGCCCCTCCAACCTTTGACCTAAAGCCAGACGATTTAGCACTTCCCTGTATGTCTCTGGCACCTTTCAAGCTAGTGCCCTAGCTCTGGAGCTCAGAGTGAGTGAGCCTGTCAGATTGGCTGCCAGGTCCTATTGACATGATGCTAGTATCTTTGATAGTTGCATTGTCCTCTGTATGACAAGTTGTTCTGGGCTCATATTATACATTTTTTGTTTCAGACCTTAAACAACTCTTTATCCAAAATTCTCTGGTTTCTTTAGTGAGAAATGGTATTTTAACAGACTAACCAAGGAATCAAGAGTTACAATATATAGTGGGGTGTGATAAATGTTAACAACTGACTATCTCTTTAAAAAAAAAATTGGTAATATTTCCCAATTCCATGTTGTAAATACCTCCTTCATGACTGATTTCAATATAACAACATGAAGTCACAGAATGTGGAGATATGCACAATCTGTTCTTACTAGCTAGTGCAAACCAACTTCATCAGGCCATTGGTTATATATTTCATGAGTTCCCATGGATATGTCCAATTCAAATTAAAGAATTTCTGATTCTCAAGGACATAGCGAGTGATATGATTAAATTATTCCATAATTACTCATTCTTATCCTGTTAAATATACAGTAATCTCAGAATAATAATACTGATACTACTTTTAAAATAATTACATAATACATTAAAACATTTTGCATATCCTTTCTCCATTCTCACCTCCCACTTAAAAAGTCTTATAATACAATTATATGAAGTTGTACTATACCTACACTGTCAGAACATATAGCCATTTCATTCTATATTTGCCCTCCCCTCTTACCCCCTTATTTATTTTTGCCTCTACAGGTAATTATATATTTAATGCTCACCTTCAAGCCTATGCTAATATCTTTTTTGTCATTTTGCTTGTATGAAGCTTGTTCTTTAATTGATTCCTCATGAAGGGCTCATGGTAACATCCTCTAGTTCTTAAATATTGATAATAGTTTATGCCTTTTATGTTTTGAAAGAGTTTTCTGGAAATAAAATTTTTGGCTTATACTTTCTTTATTTGATTATCTTAAATATGTTATATTTTCTTTTTACATAAGGAGTTGCTCCTGAAAAGTCTAATGAAAATATAATTTCAATATATTAAAAATATCTGAGTTAATGAAAATAGAAATATACCAAATTTGTGAGATACAACAAAAGCATTTCTGAGAAGTGCTAATTGTGATAAATGCCTACCTCAAGTAACAAGAAATATTAAATAAGCAACCTAACTTTATATCTTAAGAAACTAGAAAAAGAACAAACAAAGCCCAAAGTTAGTAGAAGGAAGGAAATAAAAAAGATTAGAGCAAAAATAAATGAAATAGAGACTAAAATGACAATAGAGAAGATCAATGAAAATAAGAGCTGACTCAATGAAAAGATAAACAAAATTGACACGCCTTTAACTAGGCTTACCAAGAAAAAATGAGAGAACTCAAATATAATCAGAAATGAAAGCGGCTATATTACAACTGATACCACACCAATACAAAGGGTCATAAGAGACTACTGTGAAAAATTATATGCCAATGAACTGTAGAATCTAGAAGAAATGGATAAATTCCTAGAAACATACAACCTACCAAGACTTAATCATGATAGAAAATCTGAAAAGACTGATCACTAGTAAGAAGATTGAATCAGTAATCAAAAACCTCACCCCAAAACAGAAGTCCAGAACCAGGTGGCTTCATTGGTGAATTTTACCAAACATTCAAAGAATAATTAATACCAATTCTTCCCATACTCTTCCAAAAGATAGCAGAGAAGGGAACTCTTCCCAACTTATTTTATGAGGCCAGATTTACCCTGACACCGAAACCAGACAAGGGTGCCTCAAGAAAATATAATTATAGGTCAAAATCCCTGATGAATATAGATGAAAAAATCCTCAACAAAATACTAGCAAACAGAATTGAAAAATACATTAAAAGAATCATACACTATGATCAACTGGAATTTATTCCAGGAATGCAAGGATGATTGAACATTCACAAACAGGTGATACATTACATTAACAAAATGAAGGATAAAAATCATATAATCATCTCAATAGAAAAAGCATTTGACAAAATTTAACATCCATTTATGACAAAAACTCTCAACAAAGTGGGCATAGAGGTAACATAACTCAACATAATAAAGGTCATATATGACAAGCCCACAACTAACATTACATCCAATTGTGAAAAGCCGAAAGCACATACTTTAAGATCAGGAACAAGATAAGGATGTCTGCTCTCACCACTTTTATTTGAAGTAGTGTTAGAAGTCCTAGCTACTATAATTAGGCAAGGAAAAGAAATAAAAGGCATCCAAATCAAAAAGAAAGAAGTAAAACTGTCACTATTTGCAGATAACATGATATTATATATAGGAAACCCCAAAGACTCCATCAAAAATTTTTGAATTAATAAATAAATTCAGTAAAGTTGCAGGACACAAATGATTACACAAAAATCTACTTGTATTTTTATACACAACTAATAAACCATTGGGAAGAGAAATTAAGAAAA